TCCTACTCCATTCCGACAAGTGGTGGCGTATGCTCGATTGGGAGTTAAGCCAGCTCAGCATAAACGGTTCTTCACTGAAATGCTCGGCGATATTGATGAACCAATTTTGCCATTTGGTTTGAGCCACAGTGTTTCAAATGGTTCCAACATTTGTGAGGAACAGCTGAAATTGCCGCAAGATTTGATTGATCAATTAAGAGGACATGCACGGCATTTACGGGTCAGTCTGTCCAGTCTGTGTCATCTTGCCTGGGCACAAGTACTTTCTCGAGCGAGCGGTCGTGAAGCAGTAGTTTTTGGCACTGTATTACTCGGTCGTTTACAAGCTGGAGAGGGAAACGACAAGGCAATGGGACCGATGATTAACACACTCCCACTGCGATTAGATATTGATGAGAAGAGCATCGAAATCGCAGTACGCCACACTCATGGTCGCTTAAGTGCATTGTTGGCACACGAACACGCACCGCTTGTTTTAGCACAACGTTGCAGTGGAATTCCAACTGGCCTGTCTCTGTTCAGTGCACTGTTGAACTATCGCCATAATCAGCAGACTAGCCAATTCGAAAATTCATTTCCTGGAGTCACCTACTTGGGCAGTGAAGGGCGAACTAATTATCCGTTGACCATGTCATTGGATGATAATGATCATGCTTTGAGCTTGTCGGTCCAAGTAGTGTCCCCAATATCAGCGGCTCGAATCTGTGCCTATATGAAACAAGCTTTGGAATCAATATCCGATACGCTTATACAAACACCCCAACAACCAATTCGAACATTGACAGTGATGCCACCAGAAGAACGTATGTTGCTGCTGCATCAATGGAATCAGAACACAGATAATTATTCAAACTCCCACTGCCTTCATCAATTATTCGAGGATCAGGTGGAACGTGATAGCCTATCAAATGCTGTGGAGTATGATGGAGAGATTTTAAGCTATAAAGAACTCAACACCCACGCCAATCGACTGGCTCATTACCTGATCGCCAAGGGTGTCAAACCGGATGATCGCATTGCACTTTGTGTTGACCGCGGTACAACAATGCTCGTAGCCATATTGGGCATCTTAAAAGCAGGCAGCGCCTATGTGCCTATCGATCCAGCCTATCCAAGTGAACGTTTGAATCATATTCTACAGGATGCTGACCCAATATTCGTGTTGACAGACGCTACTGGCCGGAAAGCACTCGGAGACCATCAAGTACCTGTGATGGACTTGGAAACACCGTTGCCTTCCGATTTGCCAATCGATAATCCAGAAATAACCAAATTGGGAGTCACTTCAGCGCATTTGGCCTATGTGATTTACACGTCTGGCTCAACAGGCATACCGAAGGGAGTAATGGTTGAACATCAACAAATCGTAAGACTATTTGAGGCTGCACGTCACAAATTTAGTTTTGGCAAAGAAGACAAGTGGTCTCTCGTCCATTCTATTTCTTTCGACTTTTCCGTATGGGAAATATGGGGCGCATTATTGAATGGAAGTCAACTGTCGATTGTACCATACAATATCACTCGTTCCACGGACGAATTTTATGATTGCATCTGTACTAGGGGTATTACTGTGTTGAATCAAACCCCATCGTCGTTTAAAATGCTTATGCGGTCAAAAAATATGAGTTCACGACCAGACCGTCTGCGATTTGTAATATTTGGTGGCGAAGCGTTAGATCCATCGATTATGAAGGACTGGTTTGATATACCTCTGAACACAAAAAGTCAAACATTATTGGTGAATATGTATGGCATCACGGAAATAACAGTTCATGCTACCTACCAACCATTGAATGCTATCGAAGACGTTTACTCAATTGGGAGACCACTCCCAGATCTTTGTGCGTATGTGCTGGATTCATATGGTGACCCGGTGCTACTAGGAGCCGAAGGAGAACTGTATATCGGTGGTGCTGGCGTGGCCCGTGGCTATCTAAATCGTCCTGAACTTACCGCAGAACGTTTCCGTACCAACCCATTCAGTGACAATCCAGCGGACCGCATGTACTGTACTGGTGACCGAGCACGATATTTGCCTGATGGTAATCTGGTCTATTTGGGGCGCATCGATCAGCAAGTGAAAATACGTGGTTTCCGAATTGAATTAGGCGAAATTGAGGCTCACCTAGTCAAATATCCTCAGGTGCAAGAGGCGGTCGTACAATCTTACGGCAATGGATCAGATGCTCGTCTGGTAGCTTATATAGTGACCGATGTGAATACATCAATAGCACAGGATCTACGCACCTATTTATCGGCTTTACTGCCTGATTATATGGTACCATCGGCGTATGTGTGCCTACCATCCTTACCGCTCACACGTAATGGGAAACTAGATCGACGAGCACTACCGGCTCCGGATGATGGGGCGTTTGCTCGCCAACTATATGATGCTCCACAGGGTGAAATGGAAGAAAAACTGGCTGATATCTGGAGTGCATTGCTTGGCATTGAGCGTATCAGCCGACATGATAATTTCTTTGCATTGGGAGGCCATTCTTTGTTGGTCGTACAGTTATTAGCGCAGTTGAGAATGGTCGGCTTGCAGACCGCCGTACGTGAGGTTTTTGATGCTTCAAACTTGGCCACTTTGGCTGCAACTCTCACCTCTTATCAATCAGTGAATATTCCGCTCAATCTGATTACCACAAACAGCACCGAGATTACTCCAGAAATGTTGTCACTTATTAATCTTACTCAGGCTGAGATCGATATAATTATTGCACAAGTACCAGGTGGAGTAGGTAATATCCAAGATATTTATGGATTGGCTCCATTACAGAGCGGGATGTTGTTCCATCATCTGATGGCCGAAGAGGGCGACCCTTATTTAACAGTAAGCCGAATGAGTTTTATTGATCGGACAACAATGGAACGCTATGCGAACGCTTTACAGCGAGTGATGGAAAGGCATGATATTCTGCGAACCGTCTTTGTCTGGGCAGGTCTTAATGAACCGGCACAGACCGTTTTGCGACAGGTTCCTTCATTACTTACTGAGCTTACGTTCAATGATACTGTTGAATCTGCACTTGATAAGTTGATTCACCAATTTAATTCTCGTCACTACCGGTTAGACTTGTCACAGGCACCGCTCTTGCGTTTGATAGCTGCACGAACGACTGATGGGAACTGGATAGCATTACAATTGATGCATCACATAATTGGTGACAATAAAACAATGGAGCGGCTACAGGTAGAAATACACGCCATACTTGACGGGGCAAGCGATAAACTAACGACTCCTACTCCATTCCGACAAGTGGTGGCGTATGCTCGATTGGGAGTTA